CATCTTACTGAACTTGACGTTCTTACTTCAACAGTAACTCAGTAGTGCAAGGAACGGGCAAGAGTATCCACTGACCCGAGCCTAGCCTATCAGCAAAAGAAAACACAAATATTGACAGCTCTTGGGAAGCTTTAAACACACACGAAATAAAGTTCAACCAAACATTGTTGTATGGGATGATCTGGATAAGGATGATCCTGCCTCAGGCAGGGGGGTTGGACTAGATAAACTCTGGAGGTCCCTTCTAGCCCTGCTTCTCTACAAATCCAACAGCAGCAAAAACAGTGAAAACAATGGCAAGTAAAGAGAGGAGCGAATGACAGGGCTTTAACTGCGACTCCACACGCCACCATCTGGTGACAAATACAATCGGCAGCTACTTTTCCCCCAGTGAGCATGGAGCAAGGGAGAAAGAAACACACCCCGCTAGCCAGCACACTGCGTACCAGCCTGAAATCCTCCTCGAGGCAGGATGTGGCCCAATTCTCCAGTGCCAAGAAAGCAGGCAAGAAGCCGGCAGGCAGGACTCACCTGTGATACTGTGCTTGGAGGAACTGAAACTCCTCTTTGATCCGATCCAGGGATTCCGGGATAGTGAATTTGAAGGGCTGACCTGCAGCCTGGTGCGGCGTCTGAGGCAGAGAAGAGAGAAAGAGAGAGAGGAAAAAAAAAAAGAAAACCTTGAAACAAAAGCAGGCAGGACAGCTAGGGACCACAGCCCAACTCCCTGAAACTGAGCTGCGGGCACTGCTGTCACCCGGGGTCCCTTCTGCAGCATCCTGCCAGGAAAGCGAGTGGGACAGGGCACAGGGAGGGAACAGCCTGCCCAGCCCCATTGCTTCCCTCCTCTCACACTTGTTACTCACTCCCCCTCCTTTCCAAACCAGGTGGCCCCTGCCCTATGCCCATAACTCCCCCAGCCCCTCCCCCTTACACTTGTCACCACCATGCCAGGCAGGGCAAGGGGCCAGCTCCTCCCCGCAATTACAGGTGAGGCCAGGGGGGGAGACACCTCCCCAGCCCCGACTGAGTTTGGCTGCAGCAGGGTGGAGGGGGAGGAAGAAGCCAACCTGGCAGCCAAGGGTAGGGTAGGGTAGGGTAGGGTAGGGCAGCCCCTCCCCTCCCCTGTCATTTGCATGCAA